AAAACAAGGGCAATCAAGCTGGACACAGCTGCCCAAAGAACTACAGTTGATACAGGGCAGCAAGGGGCACTAAAGTGGCCACACTGTCCAATTATTTACCAGTCACTGAGTTCTTCACCTGCACCCATAATTGCAAGACTACTCAGGCTCAGGTAACAACAAAGTGATTTATTTAAGAAACCAAGTGTAATACAACCATCCCAGACTGGGTAGGTTCATCACCAGTTCAAAAAGTTGTGTTGGTGTTTTAGCTGTTTTCATGTTCTCTGCCACACTTCACCTTATTCCCCCACACCACACAGTCCTCTGACACCCTGGCCTTATATGACTAGTCTTGTGGCTCAGGTGCACCTACCTATGCATGCCCACACACCCAATTCCAGGTGTCCGCCATCAGGCAGTGGCAAAAGACAAGCACCTCATCATGCTTAGACATGATGATCTAACATGTCTGCTGTCAGAGGCACTGCTCATGTGAGGGAGGAAACACTCAGGCATCTGCCGTCACACTCCAGGAGCTGTCAGGCTTCCTGGCCTTCTCCAACTGCAGTGTAGGCCATAAGCCAACGCCACATCCACCCCCTAGATGCACTCACTCTTAGATTGGTCATTCCGTACTCTTTGAGGGTTTCTGTCTGCAGTCATTACAACACTCAGCTTTCATAGCCATCAATGCAACATGTAGACCCCTGCACTCCGGCCAACCCTATGCACAAGTGCATGGGTCGGGGATTCGTGGATACAGTCTCCACATGTGGCCTCTCTTAGGTCCTCTCTTCAGATGTGGACTCCACCACAAGCCATGTTCCCCACCTGTCCCCCAAGGACGGGTCCCTCAGCTCCTCTCCCTTACTCGACAACGAACAGGGTATCACCCACAGGTAATTTTAAGAGACTCAGTGGCCTTTTTTACCTACTTAGCCTGCTTAACAGCTGCTCAGGGCTTCCCAATCTTAGCATCAGATTTTGCTTTATCTAAGTTGGCTTTTTTGACACAGCTCCTCTGCCTGGCTAGAGAACTTGGTGAGGGCTTCCTCCCTCAGCCAACCATGGGCTCATCTCAAGCCTGCCCCTTCCTCTAATCTGGCCATTGCCTCTCTGGACTGTGGTCCTAAGGTTGCTGGGCAGTACCCAGGCTGCTTTTGGCTACTGAGGCCTACCTGGCTATGCCTTGATTTTCATCCCCTGGGGTTTACAAATGATACCATCCACAACCAGAGTCCCAAAAACATAACATCAACCTGCCAAGCTTCCTCTGCTCTACTCCGCCACCACACTCTGCCACACTCCACTCCACTCCTCCATACTCCACACCATGCCAGACCACACCACGCCATTCTCTGCTGCCCTGGCCTTATACACCCAGTCTCATGCCTCAGGTGCACCCACCTATGCATGCCTACACCCTACTCCAGGTGTCCACCATCAGGCATGCATTAAATCTAATGGTGGGAGGATGGAAAATCCTGAATCACTTACCCTACACCAGGGAAAAACAAAGAGCTACTGAGACCACTAATGGCCTTTACCTCACCCAAAGTTGTGTCCAGTGTTTCTCATTCCTGCATAAAAGCAGCTAAAATGGCATCTTCCTGCCACCAAGGATGCAGAGCTCCTCTCCTGAACAATAGGTCACTGTCTAAGATGGTGTCTTCCTGCCTTTGCTGACCTGCAGCACACAACAGACAGACTCCAGGCCAGGTTCCAACTCACAAAGACAACAGAAGACACACAGGAGATGCTCCTGGAGCTGCAGGATGCCCAGCACAGTACCAGAAAAGGGACACTCAAAACAGCAGCTGCAGTAGCTGAATGACCCAACAAACAGCCACACTCAAGCAGCTCAGTGAGGTACCAGGCTCCAACTCTTTGCCTTCTCTGCCAGGCTGTAACTGCAAAACCGGAACAGTTCCAGTCGCTTGGCTAATTGCAAAGCCTCCTAACTTTTCCTCTTCGAGGTTGGCTGCTGGAGGCCTTCACCTTCAGAGGCCCATAACAGCCTTCTGGAAGATCAGCATGGTGGGGGCCAGAATCTGCTGATTTCAAATGCTGAAAATCCAAAAACCTTGAATCCAGAAGACTTAATGAATCTGTCCCCTTCTGCAGTCACTTGTATTTCTTATCAGTAGCCCCACCTCAAAATGAGACACTTTTTAGAATTTCCCCTAGGGCTCTCCATCCTCACCATCAACCCCCTCCAGCAGGCACCCACCAGTAACAGTCCTTGGCTTCAGCCACCAGTTATATAGCCACTGAGAGAGAGTGAAAAACAAAGAGGATGGCCAGATTTTAAAATAGAGAAAAAAAGTTTATATATCCCCTATACATGGGCCCATTTGTTATCTTTGCCCCTCTTTGGCATCACTGCCTGGGAGTCTTTACTTTTCATCTAAATAAACTTTTTCTTTACTTTCTAAATAAAGATTTGCTTTTCTCCGCTTATTTGTTTGAGGGCTTGTCTATAAATTTTCTTTGGTGGCTTTGTGGGACAAGAATCCGAGGTGAATTAGGGGTTGAATTCCTAACCTTTCACTGTCAAACTGGGATGAAAAGCAGCAGCAGCAGCCGTAATCACGTTAACAGTGCATACCAGCTTCAGAACCAGGGCCAGAAGAACTGGGATCAGCTGAAATCTGTTTAGAGAGTAGAATCTCACATTTCAATCAAGAACTACTCAATCAGAATATATAGTGAGATATACCCATTAATGTTTGAGAAGAACTGGTATAGATTGAGGTTGCTGAACTTGCTGGTCAACACCAAGCCATAGGCAACACATTGTCCTAAAATTTACTGTTCAGAGTTTGGTGAAGGCTAGTAAATAAACTTAGTACATTGTAGGGTCAGGAATACCACAGTGCAGGTTTTTTATGATCCAGCAGACCAGGTAAAGGAGGAGTCAGTGTCCTCAGTGGCTTTTTGCAGGTCTTTTTATTTAGATTACCAGGTATAAGGCAGGCAGGGGCCCTGGGGGGCTGGGAGGCCTGCCAGGTCTTCACTCTGGGCTCTCCGGTCTTCTCTCAGCTTCTGCTTCTCTTGCTTCTCTCTTGGCTTCTCTTTTGGCTTCTACTGCCAAAAGCACAGTCTCAGCCCAGGTGAATCCCATCTACTTATACCCACACCCTACTCCAGGTGCCGCCATCAGGCATGCATTCAGGACCGCAAGGATCCATCATCTTTCCTGATGGTGGGAGGGCAGAAAAGCCTGACATTTTTCCTTACCCTACATACATCTACTCAAGTTTTCTAGCTTTTTATTTTAAGATATATTTATTTATGCATACAAGAGCTGGGGTACAGGACAGAGAATGGGTGAGCAGATTCACCAGAGACAGAGAGGGGAACAGACCAGGCAGATTGATGGAAATACTTTGCTGAGGAGCGGGTGAGTCAGGAGAGGTCTGCTGTGCCATGTGGGTCACCTCTCTGGCTGGGGATCTAACTCGTGCTGCAGTGGCTATGGATTGCTTCATAGTGCTGTGTCTTAACCCCTTGTGCCACTAGGGAGGCCCCAATTGTTTTTTTTAAGTGCAGTACTCAGAAACAGGATGGTTTGCCCTCAAATGCTAACTAAATGGTGGGAACTTAAAGGGATGTTTCTGGTCAATAGGAACTTTTGGCTCCCTATGCAGTTAGAGAGCTCCTGACTATATTATCACAGTGATTCATAAATTTAATATATCATTTTTCATTCTCTATTTTAATTTATTTGATACACTTGTGTAGGGTAAGGTAAAAAATCAGGCTTTTCTGCCCTCCTGCCATCAGGATAGATGAGGGAACCGTGTGATCCTGAATGCATGCCTGATGGCGGGCACCTGAAATGGGTACACCTGTGCTAAGACTGTGCTTTTAAGGGCGGCATCACGGGGACACCAGTAGAGGCAGCAGAAGCCGAAAAAGCAGCAGCAGCAGAAGCCGAAAGAGAAGCCGAGAAGCAGCAGAACGAACGCCGGAGAGCCCAGATAGAGTGAAGACTTGCTGGGGGCTGGGAGGCCTGCCTGCCTCCCAGCCCCCCAGCACCCTTGCCTGCCACGTACCCGCTGAACCCCAATAAAAGACCTGCAAAAAACCCACTGAGGACTCTGACTCCTCCTTTACCCGGTCTGCTGGATCAGAAAACCTGCCTGGAGTCCAGTCCTGCCTCTACAACTTGCCTCCCACAAGTGCAAATTGCTCTCATGTTGAATTCCCAACATACATGCCTCTCATGGTCTCTATGCTTGTCCATCTAAGCAATCCAAATTGCTTACTTTTATTTTTTCTTTTAGATCATTCTTGTCTTTATAACTTTTTTAGATTGTTGTTGTTGGAACACCATTATTTTATATACTTGTTAGTGTTTTTACAGTGTAGAATTTCCCTCCTCAGGGGTAGTTACTGTAGAACTCATATCAGCAAGCACACATAGTCCTCCACTCTAAGACCAATGTTTTCCTCATTGCCCCTGTTCTTCTCTCTTCCTCCCCCACTGGATATCTGGGATCTGTGGTCAGTGTCCAAAGGTCACCTGTGTATAGATGTGAGTACTTGATGCTAATGATTCCTATTAGAGTAAATAAAATGTCCACTAACTTATCACTACTATTATACCTTATACCAACTGTTGTGATAATATTACTGTCAAGCACCCCTGTGTCCATTCTGTGATCTCAGGGGACACAATTTCTACTCAGTCAGGTTTTCAATGCTTGTTTTAGGTTTTCTTCTGACAGGACCTGTTTTATCTGCTTCAGTTTACCTGCATTGGATTAATTTCTTCTCCTATTTTCTTCTTATTTTTCCACATTTGTATTTTTTTTTATCTATACTGCACATTTGACATATTCCTGATAACATCCATGACAGCCAGACTCTCTCAGGTTCACTAAATTCTGACCACAGCTATTCTCCTTCTATGAATGGACATCTTGCTGCTCGCTTGAACTGAAGCATTCATTGGCATGCCACAGACTCTACGGTAACAATTCAGCTGGCAAGATTTTATATAGGGTATTTTGTTTTATTAATCTTTTTATGCATCATTTTTAAAATCTTCTATAGCTGGGTCAGTTTTGATAATCTTGATCCAACTTTCCCTGGAATCCTTTCAGTCTTGTCAGTTTGGAGGAATGTCACCATATACTTGAACTCACACCCTTCTTACTTATATGCTGGGACACAGAATTGGAGCTAGCAAATAAATGTCCACATGCATAAATGAAGCATATAAAGGATTGCCACTATGAACCATTTCCTTGAAACTCTGACAATATGCATGGAATACTTTTATAGAAGAATATTTTTTCTGGAAATATGTAAATAAGACTTGGATCCAAGGAATTGGAATTCTGTCCCATACATAAACATAGTAGAAGAGGTTTAGTTCTATCTAAAGATTCATGAAAATCTTCCTGAAGCAGATGATTTCCCAAATGAGTCTTGTAGTGTGATAATGAGTTTCTCTGAAAGAAAAAAAAGTTTGGTAAGGCATTAAGGAGATAGAACCAGGACAATTAGTGGGGAATGGGCAAATCATCATAATATTTAAGGGAAGTGTAGTTAGTATTATTTTAATTTATTTTTTAAAGATTTATTTATTTATGCATACATGAGGTGAGGTATTATAGGCCAGAAGTGTGGGGAACAGAACAGGAGGATTGACTGAAATACACTGTTGAGGGGAGCAGCAGGTGAGTCAGGAGAGGTCTGCTGTACCATGTGAGTAGCTCCCTAGCTGGGGATGGACCTCGTGCTGCAGTAAGTTTTCTAGCTGACATACAGCATTTACTTGTGCAATTAGGTTTGAAAATTATCCCCATATGCACATTAGTTATTGGGAATTCAATGAGGTGAGTGGTCATATTGTTCTTTCAGATTGGACACTGGTAGGAATATGATGAATTTAATGTAAGAAGAATGTTTTACTTTTGACATTATATATGCATTTTTGTTTATATTTTATCTTACATCATTTGAACACATGCTACCTGAATTTAAGGACCCTTGTCTATTTGTTCAGATTCCTTTGTCCTTAGTGTTTATAGTGAAAGGTGACATGTGAATAATTGTGATGTTAAATATGGCTAGTTCATATCACACAAGTAAAAGAATGCAAAACCTAAAACAACAATAAGTATATTTACAAAATGCTCATGAATTATCATTGACAACTGTAAAAACCTTACTGTCATTTGCAATTTTGCGGTTCATTTTAAATCTGTTTATTACTCATAGTTTTTTTTTTCATTACTAGTAAATGAAAATCTAAGCAAAGATATTCTGCCCAGAAGCATAGAAGTAAAGCTACTAACAGTTGATTACAGAATACATAATTTTTGCTAAGTATTTAGGGAAATTTCTGAGGAAAATACCAGAATGTATAATTTGACTTCCTTTCTCAGGTTTTCCCTGCATGGTTAAAAATAAGAAAAACATGTTACAAGTGAATTAACTGATGGCATTATGCCTTGAATCTACTTTTTTGGTTATGTATCTAGCTATATGAAAACATTTATAATTGCATTTAAAGTAAGAATGAATGTAATTACTTTCATATGTAAATGCAATGTACTTTTTGACTGATAACCCACAGAGGAAATCATTAATGTTCATATTTTATAATACATGAAGTTTTCAAACTATGTCACCAAATAAAGGAGTGATTTATTTTTAGATCCTCAATATCTTTTGTAATAGTCATTGTCAGGGCCTCCCTGGTGGCACCAGGGGTTAAGTCTCAGTAAAATGAAATTATTGCCAGCCACTCCAGCATGATAATTCATGATCCCTGGCCAGGGAGGTGACCCACAGGATGCAGCAGACCTCTCCTGTCTCTCCCACTGCTCCCCTCAGCAGTGTTTTCAGTCTATCTGCCTGTTCTGCTCCCCACTCTGTATCTGGTGAACTCTTTCACCCCTCACACCGCTGGCCTATACACAAGTCCTTCTATGCATAAATAAGTAAATCTTTAAAAACTATGAAAAATAAAAAAATAAACTTTAATCAAAATATAATCAAATGAATCTTTAAAATAATTTAAAAGTATTTTACCAAAATTTTCTCTTACATGTACTTCATATACTTAAATATTTTTTAATTTATTAAAATTACTTTGCTCAGGTATATTTAATCACAATAAAATGCTGATTGTTCATATAGTGAGGCACAGTGAATAATGCAGAAGTTTGTATAACCACCACCACAATCAAGAATAGAATATTTTCATCACCCTTATATATTCTGGTGTGTCTCATTTTAGTCAGTCTCCCTCACTTCTGGTACTGGCAAAAAACAGTTTGAATATTTGTTTGAATATTGAATTGAGTATTTGTTTCACCTGCTCTTAAATTTGTTCATTGAATATTTGTTTCACCTGCTGTTAAATTTCCTGAGGTAGAGTTATGCTCTATTTTGTGTCTGGTTTCTTCTGCTCAGTGTAACGTTTTTGAGATCCACTATGTTGTTACATGCATCATGTATACCTTTAATTTTATTGTTGAGTAGACTTATATTTTATGCATATAGCACAATAATATATTTTATGCATATAGCACAAAATGCATATAGCATTTACTTGCATGTAGGCATTTGGGTTGTTTCTAGTTCCTGGAGTTATTTACGATATAGTTGTGGAAATTTGTATACAGATATTTGTGTTGAGATGTAGACATATCATTTCTCCAATACGGATGCTTAGTATTTTGAAAATCTGATGTGCATTTAACTTTGTAAGAAACCATGAAACATTTTATGTGGTTATGTCCATTTACTTGCCCACCAATTACATATGAGAATTTCATTTGCATAAAGTTTTTTTTTAAGATTTATTTATTTATTCATACAAGCACTAGGTACAGTCACAAGCGCGGGAGGGTGAGAGAATTCACCAGATCTAGAGCGGGAACAGAACAGGCAGACTGACAAAGTACACTGCTGAGGGGAGTAGCGGGCAGCAGGATAGGTCTGCGTGCCCTGTGGGACCCTCACCCGGTGGCCAGGGATCGAACCGGCGCTGCAGAGGCTGCGGGCAGCTTCGCAACCCAGCACTCAATCTCTGCGCCACCAGGGAGGACCTTCATAAAAGTTTTGTAGGTATTTGATATAGTATGTATTTTAAATTTATTGATTCCAGTGGATGTTTATTGCATCTCATTGTGCTTTTAATTTACATTCTTGAAGGCAAATGATGTTGACTTCATTTTCCGTGGCAAATTGATTGTTTTGCCTATAAATTATTCAAAATCATAGATATTTTTTATCTAAAGTGTTTTTCTTTTAGTATTTCTCCCATTTATCTTTCCACAAAAGATTCACATTTATTCATGTTCCATAAGAATTCTTGATATTTAATCTACATGCCAATTATGAAAATTATTCAAAACTATATCATGACCAGAATCCAGGCATGATTTTAGCACATTGATATCTTGTTGAATAATTCAAATAAATACCTTCATTTCATGGATATTAGTTTCTAGTAGGATAAATAAAGATGATGATAGCTGAGAGAGAGAGAGAGACCAATAATGATAATAATGCAGGGCAAACTTCATTTTAATAGTTCACCACAGGTTTTACACTTTAGGATGTGAATTCTGTTTTCTTTTTCTTTTTTTTTTTTAAGATTTATTTATTCATTCATTCATTCATTCATTCATTCATTCATTCATTTATTTATAGAATCATTGCGTACAGTCAGAAGCACGGGAGGGTGAGAGAATTCACCAGAGCCAGAGCGGGGAGCATAGCAGGCAAAAGAGCCAAAGTACATTGCTGAGGGGAGCAGCGGGCAGCAGGAGAGGTCTGCGTGCCCTGTGGGACCCTCGCCCTGTGGCCGGGGATTGAACCGGCACTGCAGAGGCTGTGGGCAGCTTCGCAACCCAGCGCTCAACTGCTGCACCACCAGGGAGGCCCTGTTTTGTTTTTCTTTTTAAATATTTTTTTATTTATTTATACAAGAACTGGGGTACAGGCAAGATGCGCAGGTGGGTGAGAGGATTCACCGAGACAGAGCAGGGAACAGAACAGGCAGACTGATGAAATACACTGCTGAGGGGAGCAGTGGGTGCGACAGGAGAGGTCTGTTGTGCCATGTGGGACCCTCGCTGGCCTGCTGAGAATGAATCAGAGCTGCAGAGGCTGGGGACAGCTTCACAGCGCTGCTCTCAATCCTCCTGCACCACCAGTGGAGGCCCAGGATGTGAATTTTGAGAAGATCAGAATGGAGTTGTGGTTTAAGCTCAGCTGATAACTGGGAAGAATAAAAACCCAGGCAAAGATGTCATGAAGTTCAAAGTGCCATGTGATATGCACATATTTGATGTGTTTTAGAAACATTATGAAGACCAGTATAGATAAACATAAGTGAACAAGTGGAAGATGTTACAGGATGACAGGGAAACAGATGTGGAAAGAATAAAAGATTTTAAAAGAACTCACTGGCACTCTATGCAGCATAGATTGGTGGAGTCAAGACAAACTATTAATTATAATTACTTTTTTTATTTTATTTTTGCCTTGAAAAACTGGAGTGTAGACCAAAGGTATGGGGGCAGGGTGAGAGATGAGCCAGAGACAGAGTGAGGAGCAGAGCAGGGGGATCTGTATGCTGTGCCATGCAGGTGTTTTATCCCTGGCTGGGAATGAAATTCAAGCCATGGTGGTGACAGTGCTGTGACTTAACCCCTAGGCCACCAGGGAGGCCCTGAGGCAAACTGTTTATCAGATCTGTGCAGAAAATAAATGAAAATCTTTAAAAAATAAATAAACAGCAAACTATTTAGATAAGAGACTATTTCAATAATCCAAAGATGCAGAGAAAATTGAAAGGAGCCTTAAAGTCTGCATATTTTTGGAATAAGAAACAAAAGATATTTGTGATTCCCCAATATGAAACAGCAATAGAAAGAACTATTTCTCAAAACTGATAGAATCATATCAGAAGTGAACACTAACGTAAGCAATGGACTTGGGGTTATAGCATTCAGTGTAGTTTCACTGATAATAACCAAAGAAAAATTCTGATACAGGATATGACATTGGAAGCAGTTAGGCATACATGGTGATAAGGGGGTATGTGGAAACAGTATGTAAATTCTGCCCAATTTTGCTATGAACCTAAAACCGCTCAGAACTGGAGGAGGCTATGTTAAGTGAAATATATCAGAAGGAAAAAAGACAAACATTGGATGGTTTCCCTCAGGTATGGGATATAGAGAGACAAAACAAAGAGTCAGGAAACACCTAACTAAAACCAAACTCTGGGAATCTGATTTTAAAATTGATGGTACCAGTGGGGAGGGGGATGGTGGAAGTTTTGGACTATGGTGGTACATTGGACAATGATGGTATATTAGACTGGTACATTGGACTATGGTGGAGGAATAGGGGTGCCTTGATGATAGATGTGGTGTGGTTACATACATCTGATGAGGTATGATCCTATACCTACTAATCATATACA